TTCTACAAACAAACTGAGGGCACCCCAATGGGCTCCCCCCTATCTCCGGTTGTAGCCAACGTTTTCACGGAGAAATTTGAGACTGACGCCATCCAGACTGGCCACTCTACGCCCAACCTTATGGAAGAGGTACGTGGATGACACTTTTGTCATCTGGCCACATGGCCGGCTTGCTCTAGACCAATTCCTCGACCACATCAATTCCATACACCCAGCCATCAGATTCACCATGGAAGTTGAAAAAGATGGCAAGCACCCTTTTTTGGATGTCCTAATACAAAAGAGACCTGATGGTTCAATGAGCCACTCTGTCTACAGGAAAGCTACCCATACGGATGCTTACCTGAAACCGGATTCCCACCACCATCCATCCCAGAAGAATTCCCTCATCAAGACTTTGCACCATAGAGCCCAATGCATCTCTGACCAGGAACACATTGCCAGTGAACTCAAGCACGTACGCCAAGCTCTTAAGGCTAATGGTTACTCCGACTACACAATCCGCAAAGCCATCACTCCAACCATGAAGAAGGACCCTTTTGAGGAGTCATTCCAAACCATCACCTTACCCTACATTGCGGGGATCACAAAAAAGATCTCCAAAATCTTGAATAAACACAAGATCCAGGTCCGATTCAACACATTACATAAAATCCGTGATCTGATTCCGTCTGTAAAAGATGTGATTCCGGAATGTAACTTGCTACCACAGAGTAGTTGCCTCTGTGGTAGCAAGTTACATTGGAGAAACCAAACGACATGTCTCTGACTGCATCCGTGAGCACAAAGCAGACCTGAAACACGGTAGGACCAACACCTCAGCCGTGGCAGATCACTGTTATAACTCAGTGGGCTCACATGACATTGACTTCTCCAAGACGGAGGTTCTCTGCAAGCCATCTGGCTACCATGAGAGATTCGTTCATGAGGCTATCCACATATACAAACACAGAGACAATTTCAACCGAGAAGATGGATTCTGGCTTAGCAATCATTGGAAGGATTTTATTATTCTAGATTTGAAGCTTTCGCGACTGCAAGGATTCATGCTCTTAGTTCTTTCGGTAAAGTCACGTAGGTGAAAATAAAAAAATAATAAAAATATAACAATAAAATCACGACGTTTCGGAGGCAAGCTAATCTGGCTGTGACGGTCCCACCTGATGACGGAGACTTGTGTTGCCTCCGAAACGTCGTGATTTTATTGTTTTATTTTGATTAATTTTAATTTTTACCTACCTACGTGACTTTACCGAAAGAACTAGGATTTGATAAACCATTTCGGGTCTTAATTGATTGTGTTCACGCTTACGGTGACTTTCAGACCACAATCCATTATCTTCCTCTCCCCCCTCCTCTTTTCCGAACACAGATGGACTCGTTCATCTGGCCAACTGCCAAATCGCTGTCCGTGGTGCTGACGTTAAGAAACAAAACGGCACTTTTTAAATCCTTTATATTAAGTTCACTTGCTTGCTTGCTTAGGACCGTGCAAATTTTTCGGTCGTTTTTTAACCCACTTCCCGTGATCCAATCGAGCTGACATTTTCCACACAGACTCCGTTGTGCGTGACAATTAATGTTCGTGAAAAATGTTTTCCAAAATTTTACACTTTTTAGGACAAAAATATTATATTTAATTACCAATTGCTTAATGGTGCCATGCAATCATCTGACCCATAGGTGGCAGCCATCTCAAGCCAGAGGACGAGAGGACTCTAGCCGCCACGCATATAAAGGATTTATAGTGAAAAACGTTGTTTTTACGGGTTATACTTGTTTCAAAATTTCTTGCCGTGGATTTCACACCTGACGATGATTGCTTGTGTTGCAGTCGAAACGTCGTGAGCATTTTTATTGTTTAATATATTTTTATTATTTTATTATTTCCCTTCTACGTGACTTTACCGAAAGAACCAAGAATATAGAAATCTACACGTTGATTTATATGAAGACAAGTCCAGATGTTGTGGCCAAGGTTTAGCAAATTGTTGTTTTTATTTCCATAGCACAGCAAAGATTTTTTTATAGCAATATATTGAGCATATTTGAATATGTGTGGATGTGCCCCCCCCCCGCCCCAATATTATAATTACGGTGTTATGTGGAAATGTATAGCAGGAGCCAAATAAGAATCTAAACGCGTGATGTTGATTCTAAATGTGGAGGGGAAGGCCCAGAGCACTCGGGAGAAAGATCCACGGTGACCAAACAAAGACAAAGATCCCCTCCCCCGTGTAGCCTGTAACAGACTGTAGGGGCAAGTGTTGTTAGCGAGCACCTGTGAAGGCCAGTACAGCGCACGAGGGGGTGGGTGGCCAGCACCACGCCCGGCCGCCTTTGTCTCCCTAGTGGCGATGATTACACACCGCATCGGGTAACTCGTTTTTTGAGGCTCGGAGCAAAGACGAAATGAGTCCCATTACGACCGATAATGATGATGATGGTGGTGGTGGTATTGATGATGATGATAATGATGGTCGTGGTTATGATGATGGTGGTGGTAATGATGATGATAGTGGTGATGATGATGGTGGCGGTAATCATGATGATGGTGGTAATGATGATAATGATGGTGGTGGTAATGATTGTGATGGTCGTGGTGATGATGGTGATGATAATGATGGTGGTGGAAATGATTGTGATGATGGTGATGATGATGGTGGTGGTAATGATTGTGATGATGATGGTGGTGATGATGATAATGATGATGGTGATGATGGTGGTGATGATGATGCAGTGGTGATGATGATAATGATGGTGGTGGTAATGATAATGATTGTGATGATGATGATGGTGATGATGATGGTGGTCGTGGTAATGATGATGATGATGGTGGTGGTAATGATTGTGGTGATGATGGTGGTGGTAATGATTGTGGTGATGATGGTGATGATGATAATGATGGTGGTGGTAATGATTGTGATGGTGGTGATGATGGTGGTGGTAATGATTGTGATGGTCGTGGTGATGATGGTGATGATGATGCAGTGGTGATGATGATAATGATGGTGGTGGTAATGATAATGATTGTGATGATGGTGGTGATGAGGTTGGTGATGATGATGGTGGTGGTAATGATTGTGATGGTCGTGGTGGTGATGATCCAGTGGTGATGGTGATAATGATGGTGGTGGTAATGATAATGATTGTGATGATGGTGATGATGGTGGTGATGATGATGGTGATGATGGTGGTGATGATGGTGATGATGATGATAATAATGGTGGTGATAATGATTGTGATGATGGTGATGATGATGGTAATGATGATGATGGTGGTGGTAATGATTGTGATGGTCGTGGTGATGATGGTGATGATGATGATGGTGATGATGATGATGGTGATGATGATGGTGATGATGGTGGTAATGATGGTGATGATGATGTTGATGATAATGATGGTCGTGGTGATGATGATGCAGTGGTGATGGTGATAATGATGGTGGTGGTAATGATAGTGATGATGGTGGTGATGATGGTGATGATGATGGTGGTGATGATATTGATGATAATGATGGTGATGGTGATGATGTTGATGATGGTGATGATGATGTTGATGATTGTGATGGTCGTGGTGATGATAATGATTGTGATGATGATGATGGTGGTGATGATGATTATGTTGATGATAATGATGGTCGTGGTGATGATGATGATGGTGATGATGATGATGGTGGTGATGATGATGGTCGTGGTGGTGATGATGGTCGTGGTGGTGATGATGCAGTGGTGATGGTATTAATGATGGTGGTGGTAATGATAATGATTGTGATGATGTTGATGATGTTGATGATGATGTTGGTGGTAATAATGGTGGTGATGATGGTGATGATGATGATGGTGGTGATGATGGTCGTGGTGGTGATGTTGCAGTGGTGATGATGGTGGTGATGATGATGATGATGGTGATGATGATGGTGATGATGGTGGTGATGATGATGATGGTGGTGATGATGATGGTCGTCGTGGTGATGATGTTGCAGTGGTGATGGTGTTGGTTGCTGGGTGTCAGCGGAATCGATGTCAATTAGAATCGATGACAGATTCGAATACACGGAATCGAAACTCAATTATAAGCTTAAAAATATAAATACACTATGAGATCTCTTTTACCAGTGGCAAAATATAGTAGTAGATTTTTACCCTTTTAAACTGGTACAAAAAAGGTGTCAGTTTTGTACCAGTTTAAAAGGGTAAAAACCTACTACAATATAAATACACCGCACAAGAATACTTTATAAATAACGGAAACCAGGATATGCCCAAAAAGATACTTGGGTACATTGGCCGATGTACTAAATATTTCTTCTTATTTTAAACTTGACAAAAAAAAACACTAATTATATGAATTTATAAATTGAACAATTTTTAAATAACAGATGCACATTGCCTAAATTCATTACAATTTTTGTATATCTGTAATTTAATTGTAGCAATAAAAATCCTGAATTTTCTCTTCAACATAAAAAAATTCTAAAATAAAAATTATTTCGCAAACCACGAATATTCATTTTTGGATCAATATAACGGAACAAAAATGTTTGTTTTAGTTTTAAAAACATTATATAACAACATTTACACAACAGCAACGCATTTCACGAGTGCAAATGAACAACAGCGCTAAGCAATATCTCATAGCCCTAATCAACGCGTGCCTGCTGTTAGCAGCAGCAGTAGCAGCCAATTCGGAATCGATTAATCATCGATTTAGCGACGCAAACCTCGAATCTCCACCCACCCCCCCAGCTTTCCATTCATCGAACATCGCGTGAAACGCAGCGGCGATTCCTTTGTCGCTCGATTCACGTGGGATTCGAATCGCGTGCATCACAGAGAGAGAGACACACACAGACAGAGAGAGAGACACACACACAGAGAGAGAAGAGAGCGAGCGAGCGAGCAAAGGAGGTGCAATGAACAAGGCAAAGATCGACTGGCCTGGTGATCCCATACAGGTAACGCTTCTCCTACGCGATGTCGATGAATGGTGGGTGGCAACATCGACCCTCTGTGTGTGTGCGCGTGTGCTTGCTTGCTTGCATATCCCATGCGTGGAAATCTTGACATTGTATTCGCCCATAGAAAATACAACACACATCACACAAAGACAAAGAGTCCCCGTGTAGGCTGTCACAGACTGTCGGGGCAAGTGCTGTCAGCGAGCGGCAATCGGTGGGGGGCAGGTAGCCAGCATCACGCCCGGCCGCCTTTGTCTCCCCAGTGGCGATGATTTTTTACACCCCCACACACTTAATAATTTGAGGCTGAGTGGACCTAAAGATGCGTGTTCGATGTCTCCGTGTGCGCTCGCGTGATGCACGTCCGTACGCGCACATTTTACACGGGATTACAATACACACACTGCGACAAAGACAAAGGTCCCCCGTGTAGCCTCTAACAGACCCGAGGGGCAAGAGGTGGCTGTTAGCCGAGCAGCAGCAGCAGCTATGATAGGCGGGCACAGCGGCACACGCGTGACAGCGGGTCGAGTGGCCAATCACCACCACGCCCGGCCGTCTTTGTCTCTCCCACGCGGCGACGTTTACGCACCGCTCCCACGTGCTCGTTTTGAGGCTGAGTCGACCTAGTGTGGAGGGCCTAGGTCCGGTGAGCGTGGAATGGAACTCGGCTGACCGGGGTTCGTAACGCAGTCAGCGGATGCGCTAACCACGACACTACCGCTCCCCGCACCATAGAATACAACACACACACACACACAGCACACACACAGAGCGCACACACACCACACACACACACAGCACACACACACAGCACACACACAGCACACACACAGAGCGCACACACACCACACACACACACAGCACACACACAGCACATACACACAGCACACACACCACACACACACACAGCACACACACACAGAGCGCACACAGCACACACACACAGCACACACACACACACACAGCACACACACAGCACACACACACAGCACACACACAGCACACACACAGAGCGCACAGACATCACACACACACAGCACACACACAGCACACACACAGAGCGCACACACACCACACACACACACAGCACACACACACAGCACACACACCACACACACACACAGCACACACACACACACAGAGCGCACACACACACACAGCACACACACAGCACACACACAGAGAGCACACACACACAGCACACACACAGAGCACACACACACAGCACACACACAGCACACACACACAGCACACGCACACACAGAGCACACACACACAGCACACACACAGCACACACAGAGCACACACACAGAGCACACACACAGCACACACACACGTACCCACACAGCGCACACACACAGCACACACACACACAGCACACACACATGTACCCACACAGCGCACACACACAGCACACAGCACACACACAGCACACAGCACACACAGCACACACACACGTACCCACACAGCGCACACACACAGCACACACACAGCACACAGAGAGCACACACACACAGCACACACACACAGCACACACACACAGCACACACACACAGCACACACACACAGCACACACACACAGAGCACACACACACATCACACACACACAGCACACACACAGCACACACACAGCACACACAGCACACAGCGCACACACACAGCACACACACACAGCACACAGAGAGCACACACACACATCACACGCAGCACACACACGCAGCACACACACAGCACACACACAACACACACACACACAGCGCACACACAGCACACACACACAGCACACACACACGTACCCACACAGATGCTATATTCAGAGATACATACTTCACAACGTGCTAAAATCTGTACAAATACGATGTCCAAGCTTGTCGTCGTGTGTACATGACCGTCGTTCATTCATTCATTCAGCCATACGTTTGTAATGATGATGATGATACTGTCTGTATATGAATACATAGTACGTACGTATGGATTACGTTGTACAGATGAATGTGTCCTGTAAAGAAGCCATTTAATGCATCTGTTGTAATATACACACACACACGTACACAGACAAAGATCCCCCGTGTAGCCTGTCACAGACGATAGGGGCAAGTGTTTTTTTGCGAGCAGCACCTATTAAGGCCGGCACACGCGGGGGTGGGTGGCCAAACACCACGCCCGGCCGCCTTTGTCTCCCTACAGTGGCGATGTTTACACACCCATTTGATGGCCGAGTCGACCTAGGGGAGGCCCGGCCACCACATATAATCGTCACATTCACGCATAAGCTCACACGCGGCAAGCGTTACGTGCGTCGATCAATTGACGCACGCGCGCAAGAACACGCCCCCATGTGTTGTTCACACGATGATGATGGTGATGATGGTGTGTGTTGTGTGTGTTGTCACACAATGATGATGATGGTGATGATGGTGTGTGTTGTGTGTGTTGTCACACAATGATGATGATAGTGGTGTGTGTGTGTTGTTCACACACAATGATGGTGATGATGGTGATTATGGTGTGTGTGTGTTGTTCACACACACACACAATGATCATGATGGTGGTGTGTGTTGTCACACACACAATGATGATGGTGGTGTGTGTGTTGTTCACACACACACAATGATGATGGTGGTGTGTGTGTGTGTTGTTCACACACACACACAATGATGATGGTGGTGTGTGTGTTATTCACACACACACACAATGATGATGGTGGTGTGTGTGTTGTTCACACACACACAATGATGATGGTGGTGTGTGTGTGTGTTGTTCACACACACACACAATGATGATGGTGGTGTGTGTGTTGTTCACACACACACACACACAATGATGATGATGTGAGTGTGTGTTGTTCACACACACACAATGATGATGATGGTGTGTGTGTTGTTCACACACACACAAAATGATGATGATGGTGTGTGTGTGTTGTTCACACACAATGATGATGATGGTGTGTGTGTGTGTTGTTCACACACACACACAATGATGATGATGGTGTGAGTGTGTGTGTTGTTCACACACACACACACAATGATGATGGTGGTGGTGTGTGTGTGTGTTGTCACACACACACACACACAATAATGATGATGGTGTGAGTGTGTGTGTGGTTCACACACACACACAATGATGATGATGGTGTGTGTGTGTGTTGTTCACACACACACACACAATGATGATGATGGTGTGTGCGCTGTTCACACACACACACAATGATGATGGTGTTGTGTGTGGTGTGTGCTGTTCACACACACACACAATGATGATAATGGTGTGTGTGTGTTGATCACACACACAATGATGATAATGGTGTGTGTGTGTGTTGATCACACACACAATGATGATGGTGATGATGGTGTGTGTGTGTGTGTTTACATACACAGAATGATGATGGTGTGTGTGTGTGTCTGTTGTCACACACACACACAATGATGATGATGGTGTGTGTGTGTGTGTCTGTTGTCACACACACACACAATGATGATAATGGTGTGTGTATGTGTGTTGTTCACACACACACAATGATGATGATGATGGTGTGTGTGTGAACAACACATGAACAGCGAGGGCTACGTTCACACAATCGGGGGGCAACTGTTGTTTGTGAGCAGCATGTACACACACACGCATGTACACACAAAGATCCCCCGTATAGCCTGAACAGACTGTAGGGGCAAGTGCTGTTAGCGAGCACCTATGAAGGCCGGAACGGTACACGAGGGGGTGGGTGGCCAGCACCACGCCCGACCGCCTTTGTCTCCCTAGTGGCGATGTTTACACACCGCACCAGGTACTCATTTAAGGCTGAGTCGACCTAGGGGAGGCCCAGGACCGGTTCAGATAATCGTCACTGGTGTTAGCCGTGAGCGGGAATCGAACCCGGGTCGCCAGGTTCATAGCGCAGCGCGCTAACCGCTACACTACCGCATGTACACACACACATGTACAACAACAACAACAACCGCCATTCGCCACTAAGTGGCGGTGACGTCACCACGATGCTTGTGCCAGGCCAAGTGCACCTTGAGGCCACGTGAAGTGTCGAAAGCCCGCTGGCAGGAGGTCACGGGGCAGACCCAGGTGCCACTGGTCGACTGACCGAGATGACCGAGATGACTGGCTGATGCACCACCTGTGCCCCCTACTGTGCCAACTTGCTGTGCTTTAGCCACCCGGCGCTCCGCTCGTTGTTGTGAGCGTCGCTCCTCCGCCCTCCGTTGTTGTTGGAGGGCGACTGCCTCCAACTGCCCAGTAGCGTCCTTCACGAGCCTCCTCCACTGAGGCCGATCTTGACACCGCTGGTACCAGTCATCGGCAAGTCCACTCAGCTCCACGTCCTCCTGTACCACATCACTCCATCTCTTCTCCAGCCCGTGCCGCGCCCGTCTAGCCCCCTCGATCCGGCCGAACAAAAGCTGTTTAGGCATGCGGTGGCTGGGCATGCGGGCTACATGACCCAGCCAACGCAGCCTTGCCTGCCGGAGGGGCTCACTGATGGGACTTTGCCCAGATCTTTCAAGGATTTGTGAGCTCCTCACACAATCCAGCCTGGTTAAACCCAGGATGGATCGTAGGCAGGCCAGCCTAAATGTTTCCAACCGGCGAAGATGCTCCACCAGGGGGGTCCACGTCTCGCAAGCGTAGAGAAGGGAGGGAATGACCGTGGCCGAGAAGACCTGAAGCTTCGTGCGGAGCGACAGACCAGGTAGCTTCCACACAGCGTTACGCAACCGATGAAAAGATATTGCCGCTCGACTGATTCGGAGTGAGACCTCTGCTGATAGACTGGAGCCGGTCATAAGCACACTGCCCAGGTATGGGAAACTCTCCACTCTCTCCACAACTGCCCCATCACCAATTGGGAGTTGTGGGGGTGGAGTGTCCGATGGTACAAAATACCCAGGCAGGTGCTTGGTTTTGGTGGGGCTGATGGTAAGGCCCCACCTCTTAGTGGCACGCTCCAGTCTCAGCAGCAGCGCCTCCAACTCCTCTTCTGAATGAGCAGCTATTACCAAATCATCGGCATACATAACGTGGTTGACCAATAGGGAGCCATCCCTTGATCGCACCCGGGCGTCGATCAGCCTCCCATTATATCTGTACCAAACGGAAATTCCCCCGGTACAGCTATTGAAGGCTTCACGAACTACGCGGTCAAAATAGATGTTAAATAATGTGGGAGCCAGAGGACATCCCTGTCGCACCCCAAGGTGTACAGGGAAAGGCTCCGACTCCCGGCCACGTAGTTTTACCCGGGCCCGCTCACCATCATGAAGGTCCTTAATGATCGTGAGCAGAGGGTCAGGGACTCCGAAAGCACGAAGAACAACCCAGAGTCCAGTCCTACTGATGGTATCATAGGCCTTGACCAGGTCAATAAAGCAGAGATGTAGGTCTTGTTGAAATTCCCTACACCTCTGCTGTAGCAGACGGACAGAAAATATGGCATCTGTGCAGGACCGCCCTTTCCTGAAACCGCATTGGGGCTCCGCAAGCCTCTCCTCAGCGTGCCTAGCAAGGCGATGTTGAATAATCCTTGCCAGGACCTTTCCCGGCACACTGAGGAGTGAGATGCCCCTGTAGTTGTTACAGTCTGTGCGGTCCGCCTTCTTAAAGAGGAGGACCACCAGGGCATCCTTCCAATCCTGCGGAACCTGTCCATTGGTCCAGACTGTTATTA